TTCTTCATTAATTTGATCTAATTTAGTCAAAAATTCAACAACTGAATTTTAATAAAATTTAATTATACTAATTTCTTCAATAATTTGACCTAATTTAGTCAAAAAATTTGATATTTAAATTTTAATAAAATTTGATTACACTGATTTCTTCAATAATTCGACCTAAATTAGGCAAAAGATTTGACATCTGATTTTAATCAAATTTGACTATATTGATTTCTTCAATAATTCGACCTAAATTAGTCAAAAATTCGACAACTGAATTTTAATCAAATTCGACTATACTGATTTCTTCAATAATTTAACTTAAATTAGACAAAAGATTCGATAGCCGAATTTTAATCAAATTCAACTATACCAATTTTTTCGATAATTCGATCTAATTTAGTCAAAAATTCAATATCCAAAATTCGACTATATCGATTTATTCAATAATTTGACCTAAATTTAGTTAAAAATTTAGAAATTAAATTGAATTGAATTTTAAAATCAAAATTTTGTTATATCATTTTTATATAAAAAATTAAACTATATTCAACTATGTAACCAGCTTCATTATAAAATTTATACTGTATTCTACTTTATAATAGTATCAATTAAAGCATGTCATAATCATCGTTACATAAAAAATTAAACTATATTCAACTATATAACTAGCTTTATTAATAAAATTCATATTGTATTCAATTAAAGCATATTATAATTAGAAATAATCGAACCATATTCAACTATTCATGCTGTATTCAATTAAAGTATATTATAATAGAACCTTGAACATATAGTACAGGGGTTATACGTTATACATTTTAGCAAAAACACCTGAAATTTAGAAACTAAAAAATCAGTTTTTTGCAATTATCTCAGCATTCAGTGGTCTAATTTGGATGAACTTTTTTTAAATGAAAGCTCTTAGTGAAGCATATCTAACAAAAAAGTTTATTCAATTCTGATCACTGGATCAAAAGTTATTTAAAAAAATATAGTTTTCTAATTTTCAGCAAAGTTAGTCAAATTTGGCTAAAACTCAGTTATGACCTATATCAGAGATGTCTGAGGTCTTTTTATAATTATTTTTATATAAAAAATTGATCCATATTCAACTATATAATCAGCTTCATAATAAAATTCATACTATATTCAATTAAAGCACATCATAATTATTTTTATATAAAAAATCGACCCATATTTGACTATATAATCAGCTTTATTATAAAATTCATACTGTATTCAATTAAAGCATATTATAATCATTTTTATATAAAAAATCAACTCATATTTAACTATATAATCAGCTTCATAATAAAATTCATACTGGATTCAATTAAAGCACATCATAATCATTTTTATATAAAAAAATTGATCTATATTCAACTATATAATCAGCTTCATAATAAAATTCATGCTGTATTTAATTAAGAGTAGATGGTACTATTTTAAAATTATATATAAACTTAATGACAAATTTTTTTATATTTAATTTTATAAAAATCTTATTAAGCAAATTAATTTTAATTATTATTTAAATTTTATAGAGTAGATTTTTCTAATTCTAATGATAGTAAATTTATTAAAATTGGTTAAAAACTTAGTAAGATATAAAAAGTTAAAAATTAGGTATAAAATTTTAATATTAAATTTATCTTATAGCTTTATGTAAATTGACTAATCAAAATTAATAATTTTATGCAACTTAGAAAATTTTGTGTCTATTTAGAAAAATTTTGTTACATATAAAAGTATATTTTTTTTATAAGATATAATAGTTCTAAATTTTACTATAATAGATAAATAATTTTATCTATATATTGTAAAAATTTGATAAAAATTAATTGTAATTTGAAAAAGTTTTATTAATAACAACTTTCAATTTATAGTAAATTTTGAAAATCACGTGTTGATCATATGAAAAATGATCTACATACCGTCTACCCTTAAGAACAGTAAAATAAAAACAATGTTCTTATAAGTAGTATATAAATGGATTATACCAGTCTTCCATAAAATCACACAGTTGGGTACATAGTAAATTTTTTACATGGTATGATTATATAGTAAGTGACTATATAGAGGGATGACTGTAGAAGTTATATTATTAAATTGTCTTTTCTTTTTTTTTTTTTAGCGAACATAAACTGTAGTTTGAGAACACTTATAGCTATTTTTCTATTCTCATGAGAACAGTCATTGAGTTTGAGATTTCGAACACTGGACGTGCCTAGAAATATGAAAATAATATTATATGAAAATTTAAGTTTTAATTGTTTATAGTATTTCTATAGTGTTTATTATTTTATACAACTATCTTCCTATTAAGCATATATCAATATGTGTTGATTATACCATGAAATCGTTATGAAATATTTATTCCAAAATCAAATAAATACTTACCCATTATCAACAGTTATTTAAAGGAAGCTTCATTTGTCTTACTGAGATAATTTAAAAATTGGTTCATTTTTGATAATCCAACCTATGAAGAACCAAAAAAAGAACCTAATTTTTTTTTTTTTTTTTGAATATTAATGGTGAAAAAGAACTAATTTTAGTATTGGAGTAAACAAAACAATAAACAAAAAATCCAATTTTATTTAGATAGGAGTTCATTTCATAGATGGTTTATTCCACCAACATTTCATTTCATAGACATTTGTTTCGCCAAGCTCATTACAAATACAAGTTTTTTTATAACTTGCATAATCTTAAACTAAATTCCAGTTCTCAATAATAATAATGATTATGATTACTTTATCGGTAAAATGAGCTACCGACAAAAGTAGTACTCCGTGTTTTTGATAAGTTTTATTTAACACGATTTATTCTGAAGATATTGTTTAATATTAACAACATAACTAGAAACTAAGTAGTCTTTTTAAGATTACACGTAATTCTGACAAAAAAGTATTCGATAAATCAACCTTACTATGAAACGAGCGGTTATCTTTTGTAAACATGTCAGTAAACTTTCATTAAATGATTACGTAACTTCTTGATGTTTAATATGCTAAAGTTAAATCTTTTATATTAAAAACCTGTTATTATTATATTTTAAACAAAGATTCTTTTTTTTAAAATCAACTATTCTATTTTATACTAAAGCCTTTATAAAAATTAGCTACTGTATAATATTTTTTGTATACAAAATTTAATCTTAATTTTCTCTAAATCTAAATCAAGATTAATTGAACTAGTAGCCGAACACTTTAAAAGACTTTCACTTCGTTGTCCTTAACTCCAACTAATTAAATTTTTTTAATAGGCTTAATTATTCAAAAATTCGTTAATGACAGAAACACAGTCAGGTGCCATTATATGCAAACTAAATAAAGAATAATCTTAAATAAGATGGAGTTAACAAAGCTTTTAAAAAGAAGAATATAATATTTATTTACCTATGCCCAACATCAGGAATCTTATGAAATTGTGTATTAGGAATTTCACGATCAAGTAATTCGGCTGATTCAATAGGAACGATTTCATCAATTTCACCATGAATTATCAAAGTTGGAACTTTAATTTCTTGTAGCCTTGAAACTAGGTCAGTCTGTTTGACTGCTTCCCATTGACGTTCTACAAATATATAACTTTAGTATTAATAAATATTAAATAATATATTTATGCGTTTATATACATACTTAAAATTTCAAATGGACGGTTAGCGTTGGTACTGAGTATGATCTCCGCAACTTTATTAAATTTGTCAGGATGTTCAAGTAAATAATCGGTTAAACACTTTTCTATCTTGAGGAGCGTATCCTTTTGTTCTTGAATAGTTTTAGGACGTTCCATTTTTGGTAATTTACAAAGTTGTTCGACTATCTCGTATGATTTTCCATCGGTATTAAAACGAGCAAAACTTTAATAAAAAAATAAAGTTAATTCCAAATATAGATCATAAATTAATCGAGCAATTTATGTATTTATGTATTTACCTTGCGCCAACGATTAATTTCTCCAGCTTAAGATCTGATGGGACGTTCAAGGCGATACATAGGGCTATATTGCCTATAAAGTTTTACATTAAAATATAAGAAATCAAATAAAAAGAATTATACCCATTGAAAAAATAGCCAATATTTAAAAATTAAACATTACCACCCATAGACCCTCCAAGTAAATTGAACCTTTTAATTCCAAGATGTTTAATTAATTCAATTGTATCTTGAGCCATTAGTTCAATTGTGATAGGGTCATCATAAGAAGCGACAGTTGATTCTCCAATTCCACGATTATCCAATACAATTACTAATAAATAATTAATTTAAAATTAACGTTAAGTATAAATGTCTATAAAAACATATTAAATAAATAGTAAATTAAAAAGTGAAAGTCATAAATCTATAAAATAGTAAAACCTTAAACCTGAAAGCTAATATAATATAAACATACTTTTGTGTGCAAAATGGCTGCACTTATAATTCAATAATTTTCAATATTACGAGTCATAAAAACAACTTAGCTTAGCGTAAAGGGCATTTTAAATATATATATTTCCGAAGGATATATATCATATATATTCCAAACATATAATCCTTATAACGTCATAGACCAATTTTCCCATTTCATCAATATTGACGACTAACCTGTTTGTTTTTTTGCTAGTTCTAATGATAGTTTGAATTAGTTATAAATAATAAATCATATATACATTTTTCTTAAACATAATAAAAATGACTGTAATTAACCTTCTTCATTCCCAAAACACTGCTCTTTTGTGACATCGCTTAAAATATTAAGTTTACAAATTACGATTAAACAAAGTAATATAGCAAAAATATTATTAAAACTGTAATATTTACAGTCCCATTATTAATACAAGAGGAATCTCATGTTTAATATTATTAGGCTCAAAAATCTTGTATGCAATTTTTGATCCATCTTGTTGTTCGAAGAAACGAGTTTCGGGCATATCGTATTTAATTTTTTTGTCACGATAAAAAGTACTTGGAAAATGAAATTGTCACATATATATATATTGAAATAAGGAAAAGGCCTTGGCAATCAATTTTGCACAAACTCTAAACAATACGTTAAAAGGTATTATTATTCATAGAATGAATTGATTATCGCTCTTTCAATGAATTCAATAAAGAATCTGATTGCCAGTTTGGTCGGACAGGCCAATCATATTCTTTGTTGAGTTCATTAGGAAGACATAAGAACATTAGTTGAATTTTGCAGATCTTTTTTTCTGAGCCCCGTGAATCCCACGATTATATTATAGGTACGTACGTACGTACGTACGTAGCTACCTTTTATTCGTCATATTCTGTGAAAATCATTTAACAATTACTGGTTATTTCTTTTTTATTCATAGATCTTTTTACAGGCTCCATTTACTAATGTATATATCATGAATGCACCAGATATTGTTTACTTTTTCTGGAAGGCGCTATTACATACAAATGTAACCTCTTGATCGTTCTTTTTTTTTTGAGGGGACTAAGACTTATTATCATAAATACTGAAATAAGTCTTATTAAAGTCGAATATTTTTTTTGTTTAGTGGAGAAAGTCAAAAAATTTCGTTTAGTTTTCAGATTTCTAAAATTCATTATAATCACTTTAGTATTCATGTGTATTCATGATATATATATTAGTAAAGGTAGCCTGTAAAAAGAAAATCTATGAATACATAATAAACAATTAAATGAATTTCACAGAATATGATGAATAAAAGGTAGTTACCTATGATTAGGGTTGGAAATTATAAGACATAATAAATTTTGGTATAAATACCAGATTATTATGCCGTATAATTATCGTATACGAAATATTTTTTATCCGGCATTTTCTATTTATCGGATTTTGCATATATTGTTACGACCAGTGGGAGAGACTTTATATCGGCGGAGCCAATTTAGCTTAGGGTCGTAAGCATTAATATGAGAAACAAATTATGTATTAACACACACAAGGCACCATCAAATACTAAACCAATATCCCTTTATTGTGTCCCAGACACTAATAGTAGCAAATATCCTTATCCAACTAACCAACCTAGTACGTTCCTAACGCACTTAAACCTAAAATCAAATACAAAACTAAAATCCCAAACTTAAATTCAAACCAACGTTCTATTATCCTATATTTATAGTTACTATTAGATTACAAATAAGCTATTATACTATATAAAGTCTAATTAAGGTATGCTTTGCAATGATAAATTTCGCATAAACTATTAACTTGTTACATGCAAAAGTATATATATTACACAAGCGAAAGTTTAATTATGAAACTTTGGTTGCGTAACAATATCAACTGTTATCCGGCAAACTCTTATAACATAGTTTTATTGCTTTTTGTTTTTTTTTGTTTCATGCATTAATCATGTTTATTCGAATTAAAACTCAGATAGTCAAAGAAGACTTGAGAATCAAGATCATGAATTACCGGATAACACTAATATTGACCATGCGTTGATAAATATCAAAATTTGTCCAATTGATCAAATGGTTGGCTGGCATGTGCCGCTGCACGACTGTCAGCAAATCATTTGCCCGATTGACATGCCGGATAAACCAGTTATTTAAGCACGAAGCGACGGCATAACTACGGTATTTTAGTGTTTCGTATACTAGTAAAGTGCCATTGCGTTTTAAAAAACTAGTATTCGAACATTATCGTACCTTACCGGCATTTATGCATATAGGAGAGACGGTGGAGTTTACACAGAGTTGTTACTAATGTTGTTGGACAAAACCTTTTTGCAAAATGACAAAACCTCTGGCGAAACTGACAAAACCTGCGAAACCTGCGAAACCTGTAATGCCTGCGAAACCTCTATAATGACAAATTTCTTATAGATATTGAAATTTCTGATAAAGCTAAAGCCCTTTATAAAGAATAAAACCTCCAGTAAAAGATAAAGCCTTAAAGACTATGTTATTGTTTTGATGTAAAGTTATTTTTTTTAGAATAATTTTTATTAATAACTTAACATTGTTAAGATATAAAGCCATTGTTTGGATGCGAAGCCATTGTTTAGATACGAAACTATTGTTTAGATGCAAAACCATTGTTGTTGTATAATTTTAATTAAAAATAATGTTATATTTTAAATACAGAATTATAATTTTAAATAGTTTTTGATTAAAAACTGTATCATTGATTAAATACAAAGTTATTATTTTTGTATGATCCCTGATTAAAGACTATTCTATAGTTTGAATGTGATATTATGATAATTTTTAACCAGTATAAAATTAATTAAAGCCACATATTAAATCTTGTAGATGTATAAATCGTGGCTGTAAAATTTAATAGCATAGTTAATAATTATAAAGGTAAATTAATGGATAAACAGATATGATGGTTTTTTTTTATATCCGAGTTTTGTAGACAAAATCTATTAACTATAAGATTGTAAAAATTATAAAGTTTTTACTTTTACTAAAGATTAGCCATTAAGTATCTGATTCAAATTAATATATATGTTTTTTGGGATTCCGTTGATTTCACCGACATTCACTTCACCAGCATGCCATTCCACTGACAATCAATTCACTGACAAGTAAATTATTTCACTGACAGTTATTTCACTGATAAAGTAATTCTGATCATTGTCGGTTTTAGTGCAATTTTTATGAACTGTCGGTAAAATAATTGTCAGTGAAATAAACTTGTTGATAAATTAATTGTCGATGAATGGCATGTTGGTGAAGTGAGTGTTGGTGAACTATTTAAAGTAGATTATATTTTTATTTTTAAACGAACATACTATAAATATATAAATATATTTTTTAATTTTATTATTTTTATTTATTATTATTTTATTATCTTTTATTAGTTTTGTTACTTTTTTGTTAGTTTGTCTTTTGTCAGCTTTCGTCATTTTGTCATTTTAAAAATTTTTTGACAAAAGACAAAACCTAGTTTCGACTTTGTCATTGACAAAACCCTTAGGTTTTGTCTAACAACATTAGTTGTTACACAATTGATAACGAATTTTTTATTGTTTTACAATACTTATTTGAAAGGCCCATGTGCCTTATCCATTAAAGAAATGTAAAAAATTCTTTAAGCTCACACCTGATAACATATTTCTTGAATCCCAAAATTTGTAAATCATAATTTGATTGGTCGATCAATCGTGTTATGCCATTTTGATTTGTCCAAAAAATCGGTCGAATTTTGCACACCTTTGGTGCTTAAAATCGACCCATCAAATCATACTCTGCTAATACCTGGCACTTCGTGTCAAATAACTATTAAATATAATATCTAGCAAGTACATAAATATTTGTCATGTGACATTTTATTTTTAATATAGGTAATTTTGGTAAATGCTATACATAAAAAAAAAAATATTATTATGTATAACTTAATAAACATTTAAAAATAATTATACACCCTCTTGATATCCAATATATTGAAGTTAAATCTTTTATTTTTAAAAGTAATTATTATTAAATTTTAATAAAAATTCTTTGTTAAAAATCAATTATTAAGTTTTAAACTGAGAATTAAATATTTTGAACCAAGATTTCGGCTTCCTAAACTTGAATTTATTTTTATTCAATTACCGGATGAATCAAGATAAGTTGAATTTGATAGCTGGATAGTTCAAAAATTTCATAGAGTAGCTTTCATTTCGCATTCTTCAAATCCAGCCAATTATAATTTTAATTATTCAAAAATTCATCAATGACAGGAACACGATCAAGTGCCGTTAGACAAATACTAAATAAAGTTAAGAATAATTTTAAATCAGATGCTTTTTAACAAAGCTTTTTAAAAAAGAAAATAAGTATATTTACTTACCAATGCCCAACATTAGGAATCCTATGAAATCGTGTATTAGGAATTTCACGATCAAGTAATTCAGCTGATTCAATAGGAACGATTTCATCAACTTCACCATGAATTATCAAAGTTGGAACTTTAATTTCTTGTAGTCTTGAAACTAAGTCAGACTGTTTGATTGCTTCCCATTGACGTTCTACAAAATATAGCTTTAGCATTAATAAAATATTAAATACGATATATATATTATATACATACTATAAATTTCAAATGGACGATTAGCGTTGGTGTTGAGTGTGATCTCCGCAATTTCATTAAATTTGTCAGGATGTTCAAGTAAATAATCGGTTAAACTCTTTTCTACCTTGAGGAGCATATCCTTCTGTTCTTGAATAGTTTTAGGATGTTCCATTTTTGGTAATTTATAATATTGTTCCATTGTCTCGTATGATTTTGTATCGGTTTTAAAACGAGCAAAACTTTAATAAAAAAATAAAGTTAATCCTAAATATAGATTATAAATTAATCAAGCTATCTATATATCTATGTACCTTGCGCCAATGATTAATTTCTCCAGTTTAAGATCTGATGGAATGTTCAAGGCAAACAGAGTGCTATATTGCCTATAAAGTTTTTCATTTTAAGATATAAGAAATCAATAACTTTTATTAATTAAAAAAGCATTTTAACCATTGAAAAAATAGTTAATATTTAAAATTTAAACATTACCACCCATAGATCCTCCAAATAAATTAAACCTTTTAATTCCAAGATGTTTAATTAATTTAATTGTGTCTTGAGCCATTAGTTCAATTGTTATAGGATCATCATAAGAGGCGACAGTGGATTCACCAATTCCACGGTTATCAAATACAATTACTATTGAATAATTAATTTAAAAATTAACGTTAAGGATAAATGTTTACAAAAAGCAATTAACATATTAACTAAATAGTAAATAAAAAAGTGAAAGTCATAAATCTATAAAATAGTAAAGCCTTAAACCCTGAAAGCTAATATAATATAACTATAATTTTCTATGTAAAGTGTCTGCATTTATAATTCAATAACTTTCAATATTGCTATTCATAAAACTTTTTAGCTTAACGTAAAGAACATTTTTAATATGCATATATATTATATATATTTCTAAAGCATATATATCATATATATTCCAAACGTGCATATAATAATAATCTTGCCAGATTTAGTAGATGCTTTTGCAATAATTCTCATGGCACCATACTGGACTTTATGACTAATTTACCCATTTCATCAATATTAATGACTAACCTGTTTGATTTTTTGCTAACTCTAATGAGAATTCAAATTAGTTATAAATAATTAATCATATATACATTTGCTTAAACATAATAAAAATGACCGCAATTAACCTTCTTCAAAGCCAAAAAAATGCTCTTTGGTACCACCGCTAAAATATTAAATTACAAATTACAGTTAAACAATGGAATATAGCAAAATTATTATTAAAACTGTAATATTTACAATCCCATGATTACTAATTTTCCTATTGGTTGGAATTATTCACACCAAATTACATGTCATTATATTCTTGAAAGGTTAGAGCTAGTCAAAATTAATGGATGATATTATACCAAAATCTTGCAAGGAATTTTTTTGTTAGTACGCAAAAGGCGATTTCTTAGGCGAAATTTTGAGATAAATGAGGCCTTTCTAAAATAAGCGATTGTTTTTTTTTTTTGAATTTTTATGTTATACCCGAGTCGTAGATGCGTCACGTTATTAAAGATCGTCGATTTTATCCAATCAGCAATGTGAAAAATAGTGATCATGGGATTGTAAATATTACAGTTTTAATAATAATTTTGCTATATT